TATTTTTCCCCCTTTCTGTAATTTAATATTTTCCCAAACATTTCAAAACACGCTCATTCCTGGAAATAAACATCTTTCTAGGGAAACTCCCATCTCTGCCCTTCAGAGGACGCCCACCATTTCTGAGAATCCCTCCGGCAGCTCGAAGCTCAGTGATAAAAATCAATAACCAGGCTCAACAATCAGAGCCTTTCCATTTATCCATCCTTCAGTGCCCATCTCGCTGTACTTCAGTGCTCACTAAGGCTTTTATCAACCATAAAGCATAAGCATCCTCCTGTATCAATCAAAGTCTTATTGAACCCATAAGTGGATGAGAACAAGAGGCTTAAGCCAGAGAGAAGAGATGTACTAAACAGGACTCATTAGAAGTGTTTAACCCTCATTTTTCGCTTTGCATTTAAAATGCGTCTTTAGATACTTCCTGTTTATTGTTGTTTTTTTTTATTATTACAAGGCTGACACTATCTGTGACCAAAATTGTCACTGCAAGTAGATGTAAGATGTAAGTGGGCTAAAAAGAAAAAAAAAATAAATCACAAAAGATGCTGACAAGTCACAGTCAGAAGGAGTATGAATAATAACACTGAGCAGCTTCAGTTTCCGTGTCACTGTGACACACAATACTGGGACAATTTTAATGTCACAGCAGTGAGAACACAGTTAATGATGGCTCAGGTCCATTAAGTTAAATTACTTTTTTCAAGAATGAAGTAGAACAATTTTTTTTCACAGGATCTTTCTGCGTGGAGTTTGCATGCCTGGGTTCTCTCTGGGTTCTCCAGCTTCATCCCACAAGGTCCAAAAACATGTTGAGGTTAATTGGTGATTCTAAATTGTCATTAGGTGTGAATGTGAGTGTGCTTGGTTGTCTGTGTAGCCCTGTGATAGACTGGTGACCTGTCCAGGGTGTCCCTGCCTTCACCCTAAGTCAGCTTGGGTAGACTCCATCCCACCGCGACCCTAGTGAGGATTAAGCGGTGTATAGATAATGGATGGATGTTTTTGGATTTTGTTCTCTGTTCTTACAGATCCATATGCTGCAGTGGGCAGGACTTCAACAGCCAGTATATAAGGTTAACACTGATAGGAAAACATACACACACTCAGTATAGAGTTTACAAAGGCAAAAGATACACAAAGTTGATAAATGTTATTTTATGACTTTTTAGTACAATATTATTTGACAGCAAATATGCACATAGAAGAGCAAAACAGTGCAATACATTTTACTTACTGTATGTTTCTGTGAGTTTTGCTTTGTATCAGTTTGAATGCCGTCGGTTAAGGATTTGACAATGCAGTGAATAATTATCTGACTTTCATGAATCTGTGCATCATAAACACAACAGTGTCAGTATCTTCTGCATTCATTTACAGCTAAAAGCGGTAAATAAAACAGCTAAATTCAGCTGTTATTATTCAGCCTGTGGATAAAGGAGCTTATTCCCTGTAAACACACAGAAGAATAACAACCTAAATATCAGCACAACCTTTGTTTTCTTTGTTTCTGTCATGCCTTTACATCATGCTCTTTCATTTGTAACTACAGTCTGGTTGGATCATGTGTGTGTCATTAGCAGAATGCACATCCATGAATGAATGCAGGTCAGTGTGGAGCCTGAGAGTCTGTCTGTGGAATACAAACGAAACAAGCCACATGCCGCTTTGTGCATCTGTGTATGTGTGTTCATCTTCAAGGGAAATTTAGTTTCTTGTGACTAGTCCATTAGAGAGCCATAAAAAGCAAGGAATCTTTTTATAGGATGATGCAAAAAAAAGCCGTAACTCATCAGGGGTCATGCTGTCCTTAACAGACACGTACACACATGTCACCACTCCAGCCTTTTCTCCAGACACAGGGAAAGATTGCTAAACGAAGGCTCTGACTCAGAATGTAGCTGGGTACAAATCCCCTCTATATATGTATGCACCACTTAAAGTACTGAAAAATAGTGTTAAAATATCCTGAAAGACACAAGTTGTATCTGTGTTCGTCTCATAATGCTTGAATAAAAAGTCCGTACAGCAAATATCTACAATATTTGAAGTAAATGTGAGGTTAAAAATATATATATATTGAGGAAATTCAAACTGAACTCCACTGTCATAAATTGTGGATTGAACTGTTTTTCATTGGGTTGCATTCAGGAGTTTTTTCGATATTAGAAAGCATGGCTCGATGACATACTGGAGCCAAACTTTGCATGACCCCTCTAACACAATAATGTCATAAAAACTAGCTTCAATTGTTCTCCCACTCAGTCATGAGTCACTAAAACGGCGTACAAGCTGCTAACTAGCTACGTCTTTCTCCTGCAAATGCATCTTCCCTGGATGCCAGAATTTGCAGAACATCTTCTCATTAAATTTCCTAAGAATGATGAAATGAGGAAGAGGTGGATTGATTTTGGTGGGGAACTGAGGATCTCCACCAACATCCACTTCTGCAGTTTACACCAAGTAGTTCTACTAATTTTCATTGGACACAGCTGGGATTTACCGACAATCCACTGCTGGTCAATGCAGCTTTCATTCTGTCATTCCACTGACATCTGGTGCCATCGTCAGAAGGACATACACACTAATGAGGATACATTTCCTTTTGTGTTTAGTTTGTTGTAGCATTATTATAGCCCCAGCATTTCACATCAGACAATGCTGCCTACTTTTTCATTATTTCGAAGCCTAATTTTATGTGCGTTCCAGTTTTTATAATCTTTCAGTTTCCTATCTTGTGACAAACTCCGAAAACTCATCTTCTTCTGCACTACACAAACGTTCATCGTCTATACACGTCTTCTGATTGCTCTTTTTGAAATGTGCGCCACTGAACTTTTAATTTGAAAAGTCTGACTGACTGTAACAAACATCCCAACAAAAGCTGACTGTTGACCTGCAAATCAGAAATTGAGTTTTTTTTTCCACCAGTGGTCAGAAATCCAGAAACAAATGTGTTAAATGAGTCAAATTTGTTTTCAAACCCATAATTGAATTATAGCAGTGGTCAGAAGCCTTGTGATTTTTAAAAACAAGCAGTTCGCCCACAAGAAGGTTATTCAAAATGAGAATTGGCATCAAAAGTGAGTGTGAGCGCAATAAGCATCTGAATAAATTCAATCCATGCTAAACAGAAATCAAATTCTCAGCAGAAGAAATAAAAAGCGTTGCCAACATCTCGCAATGTGCTCCTCTGTTCTTAGTATCAAGCCTTTGCTCTTAAGCGAGAAAAAGTAACAGCAAATTTTAACACAAAATCACAAAGAAGACAGTCTTTTTGTGACTAAAACTCTCTTTACAACTTCTCCAAAACCTTACAATGGGTTCTTCATATTTGTTTAGTGGAACATTGTGATTAGGCAAGGTGGTGGCTGAGCTGTTATGGCTTTGGGCTGTTGATCACAAGATTCAAGCTGCAGCACTTCCAAACTGCCACTGTTGGGCCCTTGAGCAAAGCCCTTAACCTGGTCTGCGCCAAGAACTGACCCTCTGACCCCAGAAGCTGGGATAGGAGAAAAGAATGAATAGTCTTGTACTCGGTGCAGTGACAACAAAGTTGAATCTTGCTGTCATGACCGCCTCGGCCCTCGCCTGAGTCCCTGTCTTCTCCTGACCTCTCTGTCCTCCTTGCTCATCCTCTCACAGTCACTCCAGTCCTGCTTGCAGTCTGCCTGATCATCTCACTCTCTTAAAAACTCATTCCTCTATACACTGCCAGACCATAGGCATTGAAACCTTGTTTCACCATCACCTGAATCCCCTCTGCAACTACGACACACTCGCTGCCCCCATCCTGCCCCCATCCTGCCCCCATCCTGCCACAACCAGCCGTCAGCTCTGCTCCTGCTTGCCCCAGCCCTCACCAGACCCCAGATTCCCCAAGCCTGTCTGCCCCTTCAGTTTTTGTCCCCTGTTTTGACAGTTAGTTTATCTCTTTTTATCTTAGAATTTCTTAGGTTTCCCGTCTGTTCTCAGTTCAGAGCTTTCTTAGTTTTTTTTTTGTAGTATTGCCTCCTTGGTGTATTACATCTGGTTTACCTTGATCTGTTCAGCTTCCTCACTCTGCTTTCAGTTGTATTACTTGTTAATAAATCACTTTGTTCACTCCACCTGCCTGTCTGGTCCGTGTCCGCACCCCAGACCCCCCCGTAACACTTAGTAGTGCTTCAAAACATGTTTTAACCCCACAAATACAGTTAGTGGTGGTCTCAGCTGGAGGCCACGCCTCGCTAAGGTTTATAAAAACAGTTCTGTCGGCCACATAATAAAGAAAAACACTTTGTGAAATATCAAGCAATTGAAAAACCATTTACAGATTTGAAAAAAAACAACCGATAAATTCATCTCCAGAGGGGAATTGTTGACTCATGTGCCGTATATGGAGCCTCAGGTGGAAGCTCTCTGGAAGTCAATGGTTTATGTGATCTGTCTTGTTTGCATTGTGAAACACACTCCCACACACACACAAAGTAAACACGTGCAAAGCTCTCACGTGCACACTCGATCATCTGCATCATGTACATTATATGCTTCACACAATACAGTCAAACATGCTCACAGCTCCACAATGTGCGATAATGGGTGGGTAATGCATTTTGGCCTATTTACCAGAATTACAGGAGGTGACTGTGTTCGCTGAGTCATTTTTAGAAATGTCACGTTCTGAAAAAAAAGAAAGTGAATAAATAAATAAATCTTGATATCTTTTTCTTTCTCTGCTTGTCTTTGTTTTTCCTTCTCTTTTATCTTGTTCCCTTTCTCTCTCATCATTCCCCCCGTCTTGTCCACGTCTCTCTCTTTCTCTGTCTTCCCTCTTTTTCTGCCTCCTTTTCTCTCCCTCCATCAGTACAGTCAGCCAGAGACAGTGCTGGGGCTGAGGAAATGGATGGTGTGTCTATTTTTAGAATCAGGGAAGGAGGGCAAACCAAAAGTAAGCTAGGGAGAGAGGGAGCAAGGGAGAGCGAGGGAGGAGGAGGGATGTGAGGAGGAGATAAATCTGCATTCTACCTCTGCCTCTGGTCAGAGACAGCTGAAGCTGCAGAGCGCGATCAAGGAGAAGCAGAATCACTGGATGGAAACACAGGATCACAAACATCCAAAAAAAGAAAGACTGGTGAAGACTGATATTTGAAATCGCAAGAGCAGAACAGGGAAGGAAAAAGATCCAGCGGACGCAACAAAGACCATCTGTAAGCAGGTGAGTGTGAAGGCAAATTGTGCAGAAAATCCTTACATAATTACTGAAAATGCATGAGGTGAAAATACACACAGGGTGCCTGTTTTGTGCCTCAGCCCAGAGCCGCTGCCACGGAACCATTTTTAGCTGTTGTATACTGAAGGTGTGGTCTAAATTTAGCAATGGTTACACCTTGGAAGAAACAGGGAGAGGCTGGCGTTTTGGTTTGGCTTGGACTATTTTTGGCACGGAGGTCGAGACAAAAATACATTGTGGGCTACACTCAGGGTTATGACAATATGGGGTTACATAAAAGAAAATATAGACTGACACATTCTGTGGCTTTGCATGACTGGGATTGGTATTTAAAATAGTCATCTATTTATGCAGAGTCTAGCTACTCCTTGCTGGGGTTGTTTGTGTTGTACACTGCCACTCCAAAGTAAGCAGAGGATGATGCGTGAAATGAGGAAGAGGAGAGGTTTTATATGTTTGTTTAACTTAATTTATATGGTCAATTTTTTTTTAATCTGAATGGGATTTCCTGGTAAATCAGATGTGAAATAAATCACATAAACAGTCAAGGGTGGGAGAAAGTTGTGTTTTGAAGTGTTATGTGGTGCTGACAGTTGACACCGTATGAAACGTGTGAACAACGTCACATTATGTACATTATGTCACTGGAAAAACCCATTAGTCTGATGCCCTGATTGAATGAGGGAGTGCTGAAGACAGGGTGCTTCAATAAGTAGTTTTTGTCTCCTGCTGGATGCACAATATATGGCACGAATGCACTGTTAGAAATGCTGTTAATTGAATATTGTTTGCCTAGATTGGATAGTGCACAACGCTGGTCAAATCCCATGATTGTTGTTTCAATCTAGACACGAACACTATCAGCATTTGCTATCAAAGCATCGACTTTCTCAAAAGGTGAAGATATTTTCCTTAAGAAATGTAGTACGTTTACTGTTAAACACAACAAATGAATGCAAAAATGACTTTCCCGAGGCGCTTACACTGATATCACACTCCGAAATGTTTGACAGATGCTGTTTTGTCTCCAGACATGACCTCTCCCTCCTTGTCTTTCTCTCAGCTATGCGACCACGGTCCAGACTGCTGGCCAAGACGAGACTCATGCTGCCCACAATCAGAGAGGGCACCGAGGAGACGGTGAGAGATTTGAACGAAGCCAAAACACTTCATTTTGCTGCTCACGGCCAGGCTGTGTCATCAGAGGACTACCTCCTCTCCATCTGCCACCTGGCACACCCCACTTTCCCAACCAGGGATGTTTCCCCTGACGACTTCCCCGCACGGCAGCAGGACGCTGTGCAGCAGAGGCTGAAGCCGTCACGGTTTAGTGGGACTGCATTAACCACATTTGAATTCAACCCAAAAGAGGAGGGACACGCTGCTGATGTGCAGCAGGGAGAGGGGAAAGAACTGAATGGCGAGATTATGTTTGGCAACTCTGACCCTCTGGAGTATCTTTACGGAGACCAGAATAACCTCTCTGCCCTCCCAGGTGGTGTGAGGAAAGCATTTGTTGAGGAGCGGTTTGTAAGGCAACATAGGAGCATATGGGAGGGCCAGGCTCGCACCAGAGCCCACAGCATCCCCCATGCTTCAAGTCCAGACTTCCCACACCAACGCAAGAGCAGCTGCCCTGACTTGCACACCAGCACTAACACTTCAGTTCCAAATATCTCCCCAAAACACAGTTTATCCAGGTCAGAGGCCAGGAGAGTTCGCTCAGCAGACAGAGGAGCAGAGAGACTGAATCCAACTGTCAAACAATCCCTCATCTCCCAGTGGATCGCTGACTGCAAGCTGGCATGGAGGGAGGCGCGCGTTCGGGCCTGTATGCTGCCCGCTATCGCTGAGATATAGGATGCAAACGAATAGCTACATTCCACAATAAAGTATCCTAATCTTCATGTGTGTCAGTGCATGAGACGCTGTCATAAGGAGATATGTAGAAACACAAATCTAAAAAACATACAGATGCAAGTAAATATAATCATGACTGCCATCCATATTGTTACATCAACGTTGCTATTTACCGTCACGTCATCACAGCTCTTCATGTATGCTGGTGATCGTACAAATTCATGAGAATGGACAAATGTGTATCATCCTTTTTTATGCCTTTTGGTGTTTTGTGTATTACGCATAAAGTAATAAAACATTTTTTTGATACTCTAAAGGTAATTGTGTGGTCAGTGTTGTTTCTTTGAGCTGTGTTTTCTTTGCATGTGGAAACCCTTCAGAAATGAACTCCGCTCTCGGCTCCGCTACTGCCAGGAGCAGGAGTTTCTATGGTAACTGTCGTGGGATCCTGCGCTGGTAAACACAAGCGTGGAGAAACACAGGAGGAGAAAAGAGGACAACCGCTGGACCTGAAGATGCAATATATGGGTCATTTGCTGTTGCACACGGAACGAACAGCACTGGAAAATTTTTGGTGTAATAATGATGTGACCAGTGATGCTATTGATTAAAGTGAAAACAAACTACATCTTACAAAGAACACGAGATTCTGACTTCAATTAGACAATCAGAGCAACAAAAAAAAAAGATCTGCTATGATCAATGATACATTTTTGCCAGAAAATATGAAACACTAGAACACTTGGCTGTACTTTTGAATCTGAGGCACTAGAGGGCAGGCTTAAGTCATTCCCTAAAAGACAAAATGCTTTACATAAGCAACTCATCATCACACATTTTATAACCGCAAATCTCCAGTAATCTGTTCAAGCCCTTGTAGTATTTATGGTATTGAGGTAGCTCTGTGTGTCTAGTTATTTTCGGCCTTTCAGTTTAGGATTTAAGGATCAGAGAGCCCAATCACAGCTGGGGGGGGAAACAAACCTGCAGAAAAGTTTTTTGGAAGCTGCTGCACTGACAGTGTTTATGGGTAAAGGCTACCTAAACTATTGAAAACAGGCGGCAGAAATCTTTGAGGTATAGAAATTATAAAACTAGCTCAATGATTCAGCACCATATTGAGCAAATATGTCACTTGTAGTTTGGGTGAAACTGAGCATTTAGGGTCCATCTACATACATCCAAAAGTGAAACTATCTTGCAGATAATTAAATAAACATAAGCAGCAAGATAATAGAAGACATGATTATAATGAAGCCCAGTTTGATCTCTCTGGTACTAATCATTGCCGGCAGAGGAAGAAAGGCATTTTGAATAATCCCAAAAGCAGTAAATAGGACAATACCTGAAGGTTGTTGATTTGTGTGCACTACGAATGTAGTTTAGACTCTTTCTCTCCAGAGTAATGACACCAGATCAGATCAGTTAGCAATGGTTTCACATAACTTTGGTATTTCTTATGCCCTATAATCTGTGTCGTGTCCTTGGGCAAGACACTTCACCCCCCTTGCCTGGTATGAATGTGTATGAATGGATTGTTTGAGGTGGCGGTCAGAGGGGCCGTAGGTACAGAATGGCAGCCACGCCTCTGTTAGTCTGCCCCAGGGCAGCTGTGGCTACAATCGTAGCTACCACCACCGGAATGAATGTGTGTGAATGAATAATTCACAGTGTGAAGTTTTTTTGAGTGCCTAGAAAAGCACAATATAAATCTGATCAATTATTATTATTATTTTTATCATCATTTTACAAAGAACACACAGGTTTATAGTCAGACAGTAAAATTGTTACCTCATCTGTCTGTTGTTTACACCCAACAATTCTTACTTCCTGGTTATTGTTGATATATGAGATGTGATCTAAAGTGGACAAAAACTGTATCTGACTTAACTTTG